AAATTTATGAAAAAAATATATGAAAGAGATAGAAAGAATTATGTGAAAAATTGAGAAAGAATAAAAAACATTTTAAATATGCAAATTGAATTTGAAAAAGGAATATCTGAAGAATATTGAAGGAATATTGAAAAATTATTGAAATTATAAATTATGAATATTTATATAAAATTAATTGCACTCATGTTAATGTTTTTAGTGGATGGGAAGTTCAATAAGTATGTATATGTAAAATGCTTTTTCGACAGATAACAAGTGATATATTTTCTCAATGATAAATGAATTGCATTATAAATTTATTCGAGAACTAAATTTCTCATAATGACACAATAGGTGATTGTGTCCAATGATCAGAATATAATGCATCATTATAAAAAACTATTTATGTCATTGTTCGGCTGTCAGAATACGATGTGTTTATAACAAGATATTAATTAAATCTGTTTTCTTATTTTTTGGTGAGGATTCGTGCCTTCAGAAATTTCTTCTAAATTCAATTGAGAGGATTATAGAAGATAATAACTATTAAGAAGATGATAATAACTATTAAAATCGTGTTAGAATCCTGACTTGCGATATCTTAAAGAGAAAAATTCCTCGAATTAAGTCAGCGTTGCAAAGATAAATCATAATCAGGAATTAATAAGAGATAATACAGAAATACAGAATAATCGAGATCAGCATATGTTTATTATATAAATTTCCTCGAATATAAAATGATGTTTATTGATGTTGAATCAATTGTATCAAGAGTATATCTTGGACTTGAAATCATGTTATGCTCATGTATAAAAATATGCAATTGTAAGTGTCAACTAAACTCAAAAATGAAAATTTCCTCATTAGATAAATCATCCTTTGTTTAAACTTAATGGAAGTCAGTGATTGATAATAGTGGAAAAATATTTCCATGCGAAGAACTTTTTAATAGCAAATTATTAATGTTATAAACAATAAGTATTCATGAATAGAAATAGTTGTATATAAAATTATAGAATTGCATCATTACATAGTGTGGCAAAAGTCAATAATGTAATAATTTAAATGAAGTTTTTTCAATCGATTGTTTTCTGTTTAAAAATAATAAATGATAATAAGTTCATTAAAATGTATAAGATTAATAATCAAATCAAGCGTATATTCAAGCTATTTATCATAAAAAAAATTAAAAATATATAAAAATGATTTTCAAAAATGATTATCACAAAATTCAAAAATTTTAATTTCAAGAAATTCTGATTTTTTCGAAAATAAATGATATATTTACAAAAGAGTATTAAATTTTATTGAAAAAATTTGTTGATATTCGAAGATATAAGATTTGCGAAAAAATCTATTTTAGTAAATAAATTCATATTATTATTTCATATTTTATAATTTTATAATTTTAAATATTTAAAATTTCGGAGATCTTAATTTTTTCGAGAATCCGATTCGATTCTTCGCAGTTCGTTTCGATTTTAGATTTTTGATTTTTAGAGATCTGCTAAAACAGAATTCAAACAGACTTAGACGTTCAAACATGACAGGAATGTTATAAAGATCAAATAATATCATTTTCATCTCTTCTGTAATTCGAAACTGCTATAATTTTATTTTTATGCAAGAATGTGATTTTTTTTTTCAACTTATTGAAATCTGCCTAAATGGTAAAAAATCAAATGGAATTAGAAAGAACATAAAGATATCTTCTATTATTATATTATTATATTATTAATAATGGATCATTTTTTTTTTAATTTCAATTGGAATATTATTTAACAATAATCAATATAATGTTGAATATATAATGTACGATTTTTTTTTTCACAAGCATTAATTGGAGAAAATTATTTTTACTCTCTTTTATTTCTTTTTTTTCAATATTTTTGTGAGTAATTCATTTAAGATAATTTATTACAATTAAAGATATCGTGATACTTAATAAAATAGCTATTTTCTATGTCAATTTTATGTTGAACAATGTTGCATTTTTCGATTTTTTTCAAATATTTTATGAATATATTCTCCAATTTCTCAAGAAGCCTTGAGAATTCGTTTTTTTGCTATTCTATTAAATTTTCTAAATAGTATTCATAGAGTTTACATAGATATTCAAGTTTATGTAGAGATTCAAGAACTCTTTTTTTTACTCTTTTCTTTTTTCAATAAATATTTTCTTTGTCAAAA